AATCTGTCGTGACATCGTGAAAAGTACTCGAGAACCAGCGTTTCGAAGAGAGTCCTCCGTCTCTCTGGCGATGTCTGCCCTGGGCTGCCCTGCGGCAGTCCAAAATTTAACACTGCCGCAACAGGTGTCACGAAACAGGAGGGTTCAGACATGTTGTGAAGATCGTTGGGCTGTGTTGGGCTGGCTCGGCTTCATGGTGCGGTGTTTTACTTAGCCTGATGCTCGCCGGAGCGTCGGTCACCACCAAGGTGATAACCTACTGACGGGAGCCATAAGCTGAATTGGCGAAGTGTTGCATCTGCATGCGGCCCACTGCTGACCGACCGCTCGTGAACTTCTAACGCGTGCCGTTGTCTAGCACTTGGTGCATGTGTGCCTGTATGCAGCGCATGCATGCATGCATGCATGCCACGCGTGGTTGCATGCGCGTAGACAAGTGTGTGTACATACGTACATATGTACATATGTAAATATGTAAGTAGGTATGTCGGTGAGCAGGTCGGTAGGGTTTCAGCTCGGTAGGTAGGCAGGCAGGCGGGCGGGCAGGCAGGTAGGTAGGTAGGTATGCATGCATGCAAGTATTTTTTGGTGTCATGTGTTTGGTCGGCTTCGGTGGCCCTCTTACAACGCATCCGACTCAGGTTCCGCAGATTTTCCTACCTACAGGGATTTCTGCACATTCGGCGTAGTGGTCCATGACACGATCGGTCATCTTGAAGAGTGCACTCATGCGCGCTTGCATAGTCGCGGGAAACCTATGATTACGCAACTGCACGACGATTAATTTTGGCATCGTGAAGAAGCGGCGTGGGACTGGGGGACCGGTCACCCCGCAAGTACTGTAGCTCAAGTAGCACACATCAGTTTGGGGCTGGAGACAAGACATGCAACTCGTTGGTTGTCGATTCTGGCACGAATGGCGGGCTGCAAGCGAGCAGAGCAATTTCCATCGAATGCGTGCTTCCTGCAGAGATGTTGCTGTTGGTGACATGTCGTGGGAGTGCTTCGTGCTCCGGGAGGCGTCCTACGTGCTGAAGACGCCTCCGGAATCCTTCGGGCGTTGGCCTTCTAGGAGAGGGCAGACTTGCTGTTGGCAACTTTGGCGAGGTGCTGATCTGCAGAGCGCGATCTGGTCTGTTCATGCCGGTCTGCCGCTGCAGGCGAGGTTCCTGAAGCATTCGTGGTGATCCATGGTGTCTCAAGGGATCTCTGATGATAGTCAGTTTCTTGCAGGGATGGAGGATGCGGAATTGACCGCTATTCCAAGACTTGAGCTTGGCCGGTTGAATCCCTTCCGATTTCTCCTCCCTACCAGATTCTTGAAGCAGGGTACGGCGGGTGTGTTCAGCTGGCTCTTTATGCCAGGGATAATTGCAATCGCTGCAGAATTAATTTAGGTATTTTTTGTTGTTTTCCCGGTATTCTTTTTGTTTTCCTTCTTTTCTAGCAAATTACATGCAATTTACAAGTTGCACGACGCCTGAAGTGCCGACTTCTGTCTAAACGTACATCTGCAAGCGTGTCTACTCATGCAAGCTTTTTGCCTTTTGCAATTTGCACAACATAGCTCGATTCTTGCTCGGCCATCCGGAGGGTGCCGGGGTACTCCATGTTTTAGCTAGCGCATGGATTACTGTCGCGCGTTTTTGCTGTTTTCGAGAGCTGGTCTTGGGGTCTTGGGGGGTGGGGGTGGGGGGGACTGATAACGTCCATTTCCGCCACCATCATCATGATCATCGTCATCATTGTCATCATCATTGTCATCACCACGGCATGGTCATCTTTTACGCTCCGGTACTCACATCATCCCCACATGAGGTTAGACCCTCAACACAACAATAATTCCACAGTGGCCCAGCAACAAAAAAACGACCCAAACCATACAAATCTGCCCCCGCCGAAAACAGCTAGTTCTAAGCCTAAAAACCGCCAAAGGCTGTAAATACCCAGGAATTCCTGACCTGTAAAGTCCGACGTGGCATTTATTTTTTTGGTTGCCCAAAGTCGTGCTTGCTGTTTGCGGGGTCTGGTCTTGAAGTTTTGGGGGTGGCGTGGGGGCTGATAACGTCCACTTCGCCACCATCCTCATGATCATCGTCATCATTGCCATCATCATTGTCATCATCCTCGTCATCGTCGCAGCATGGTCATCGTTACATGAGGTTAGACCCTCAACATAACAATAAATATACAGGGCCCCAACCAAATCAAAATACCACCCAAAACATAAAATTCGGCTCCCGCCGAAAACCGCAAGTTTTAAGCTTTCCTGACATTTTGCACGGATTTCGTGCTATTTCTGGCGTTTCGCTGACCTGAGCCTACATTATCTTAGTTGTTGTTGTTGTCCCGAGAAATACCGACGTTGCCTTGGTTGTGGTTGCGGTTGTTGTTGCTGCTATTATTGTTATTGGTATTATTCTTCTTGTGGCTGTTGTTAGCCTTATTATTTTTCTATTGTTATGCATTGCCGTATTATTATTGTACCATTTTATTCATTGATTTATTGGATTTACTGTTACTATCATATGTAATGTTTTTTATTAATATTATTACTGTTGCTGTTGTTGTTGCTGCCATTGTTATCGTTGTGGTCGTTGTTGCTGTTCTCGTTATTCTCAGCCGTTGTTGTTGTTGTTGTTGTTGTTGTTGTTGTTAGTGTCATGATTATGATTGTTCTTGTTGTTGCTATTGTTACTAGTGTCGTTGTCGTCGTTGTCGTTGCTACTTTTGCTGTTGTGTCACTGCTTTTGTCGTTGTTGTTGTTGCTTTTGCTACTACCCTAACTGCAGTGGAGCTTAAAGAAAGCAGCAGCGTCTCCAGTTCAGAAAAGCGGGGGGTAAAGGGGAGGGAGCAAGCAGCAAAGCTTGCAGTTTAGACAAAGCGGGGGGGGGGTTGCGGGGGCGGAGCCGCCCCTCCATTTGTAAATCTTCCAAAAATGACATTGGTTTTTCGTTTTTACCCACTGAAGCGATTTCGTGTGGTTTCTCCAGTCTTGTGTGTTGGAGAAGACGCTTTTAGCCATTTATTCGTTTTACAAAGGAGACTCTTTTTCATTTTTTTGTCTTCTTGCTTTTTTACTCCCCAGCGAATACGTCTGGCTTTCGCCTTCTTCTTGTCTGTCGGTGAAGACGCTTCTTTTATGATTATTTTAATTTTCCTCGCTTTTAACCCCCTGAAGCGTTTTTGTGTGGCTTTCTCCTTCTCGTGTGTTGGGGAAAGACGTGTTTGTTCATTTCTTCACGGCTTAAGCGAGCGCGGGGGTTGGGGGGTCCAGCCCCCCCCCCAATTGCAACGAGGGGGCCCCCTTCGAAGAGGGCTTCGAAGGCGATTTCGCAAGGAGTTTCTTTTGCATGTTGGAGAAGATATTCTTAATAGTAATAGTAATAGTAATAGTAATAGTAATAGTAATAGTAATAGTAATAGTAATAGTAATAGTAATAGTAATAGTAATAGTAATAGTAATAGTAATAGTAATAGTAATAGTAATAGTAATAGTAATAGTAATAGTAATAGTAATTGTAATAGTAATAGTAATAGTAATAGTAATAGTAATAGTAATAGTAATAGTAATAGTAATAGTAATAGTAATAGTAATAGTAATAGTAATAGTAATAGTAATAGTAATAGTAATAGCTGGTGTGAACCAGCAGGCTGGGAATAAGATACAAGTCACCAGAACTCCCAGACATGGCTCACACAGTAGGCGGAGTTATTTTTACCCGCAAACAAAGGACTGAAGTTAGTGCTCGTTGGACGTGGCACCTACAACTATGGTACATGTGTGTGAGTTTAAAAGCATGCTCAAGACCGCTCTGTACTTGGGCCTACAAGCAAAGGAAAAATCAACATGTACACTTGGCATGAGCTGCAAACGAGGCATGCACTTCAGCACTCCTCCTTCGCAGCCCCGCCATGGAGTTGCGACCTACTTGCTACTGCAGGTCCAACCCGTCAGGGTGACGACACCCCTACCCTGAACTACCTGGCAAAAGCTGGGCCAACTGCCCTCACTATGCGAGGGCTCTCAAGGCACCTCGTGTGGAAAAAAGGACACAGCTACGGATGAGCTCACTGAGAGATCCAACCCGTTAGGGTGGAGTAGTTCCTACCCTGTGCTGTGCTGGGTGTGGTCTGCAGCGCTCCCGTGGCACTGCTGGCACACTTGAAACTCAAATGGACTTCAATGCAGATTCCTTTTCAACACGCTGCAACTCGTGCCATCTCGAGAGCCGGGGGAACGTGAGCGCTCTCTGCTGTGCACTCCCCGCTGCTGATTTCAGCAGCAAGATGGCTTGAGCGTAGTGCTGCGCAAGCCGCTTTAATGAAAACGGGGACGCGCCAATTTGAGTCTGCCTGCGTGGCTGAAAGATAGAAGACCTGGAAAGACGAACTGCGGCTTACAGGGGAGACTACGACGCATCACAGGCACTGCAAGTTCAGCGCATCCCTCCTACAAGAGACGGGCTTCAATACTGCACACCTGGACACAATGTCTCATGGACAAGCAAAGCACATGAAAATCCTGTCTATAGCTTCTGATGTGGGTACCGAGCCGGAACCTGAAACATCAGCTCAAACGGATCATCGAAGTGCTTGTAAGCAAAGCTTTGTGGGGGAGCTCGCTTCTGCAAGCTTCTATGGTGAAGACAATTTCTTGTGGGTGCTTCCTCATTCATGGCACGTGAGAATATGCAAGGCATACAGCACCTGAGAACATCAGGGGAGGCCCATCCAAAGATGCTCACAGGAACTGCGGCCCCGAACATGAGGATGGGCATGCCCACCCAAGCTTCGAACTGCTGCACAAGCCCTCTGTGAATTGTTAGAGTGCGAACGGCGCTTGCAACTTCCAAGGGATTTGCCAGCCAAGATGGCAGGCCAGATTTTGGCTTGCTCTCGCACAAAACAAACACAGTCAGGGCCCCTGCCATGAAAAACATGCAGAGTGCAAACTTGTCCATGCAGAGTCTTTGGCTTGAAAGCTTGCACGCAGCCTTTCATTGAACCCGAGGAAACTCCGCACGCAGGCTGCGCATGGCGGCTTTGATCACAGCCGGCTTGGATGATGGTACTTCGGTAACACCCTTGCGCTGCAACATCTCCTTCAGCTTCGTGTTGGAGACATCCTTCAGCCTGCTTTCTACATCATCCCAGGAGGCACACCCTGTGAAGTCGGCCACTTCATGCACGAAATAGCCCGCACGCTGGGCCACCTCTGCAGTGAAAGCAGTCTTCTGCTCCGCACCTTTCTCTGAAGGAGGCAGTCCTGGAGACGACTGCTTTGGAAGTAGTGCCAAGACTGACGCTTTGAAATCTTCCATTTCACGCTTCCTGGCAGCTTCCTCATCCGCCAGCTTCTGTGCAGCCGCGCGCTTGCTTTCTTCGGCCTCTTTCTCTGCCAAGAGGGCCTTCAGACGAGCGATCTCCTGTTTGTCTTGCTTCTTGTGGCGGGAAGAAGAGCTCGACTCCGAGGAGGATGAGGGGCGCCGATTCCGGCGGCTTCTTTTGCGAGATCTGCCCAAATCATTGGTTCGGATGTCCAGCACTAAGCGCTGAACAGCTTCTGGATGGCGCGCGCGCTCATCGCTCCTTCTTCCAGAGCCGCTTGGCTTTCCAGGTCTGGCACGCTCACCGTTCCTTCCCATGCGATTTGTAGCCATAACGGGTCCCAAAAACCATCCCACGAGCAGCACCAGCTGCAGGAGTGGCAGGAACATGGCACTCACGGCGAAGGCTGGAACTGAAAAACAGCGAGCTTGGGCCTGGTTCTTCCTGAATGTCTGATTAGCAGGACTTTGCAGCAAAGTAACAGGCTCGAAGCACCTGAAACTCAGCTGTCCATCGCTCATGCTTGAAAAAAAAACACAACGCCCCTGAGCATCTTCAGCGAATATCCATTTTGGAGCAATTCCCAAAAAGCATGCATCACCTCTGCAATGGTCTGTTCCTTAGAAAGTCTCACTTGCTGCCATCTAGCAAAACGTCCACATAGCCATGATCGCACATATCCCTGCTTAGCTGCCCATGGTGGTTGAATAATCACAGCCTTCTGCGCCATGCCGATTGCTGGGGACTCCCGGTCCAGATCTAGACACAAGTCGATCCATGTGACTTTCGTGCCTGACTCCGCGAGACTGAAAGGAACCTTGTATACTAAACCTGGCACCTCCGTCAAGCATTTGGCACAGTACATCGCACTCACCTGCAGCAAGTCATCTACGTATCGCAGGGCTGCGACTTGGCGTGACCAGGGTAAAGAAGCTGAAAATCCCGCAGCCTGCCACTCTGCACGGTTCTGTAGCCACTTGTGTTCACTTATGCAAAGGACCATGGCAGAAGCTATCATGGACATGATGCCACCAATGCACAATGTCGAGAGTTTGACTATGCGGTCACCGACGGAGACGTAGGTGACGGAAACCGCAGCAGCAAACACCAGGAAAAGCTCTTGGAAGTCAAAACAACGGAATCGGCGCGGCAGGAAACGGAATCTGTGCGGCGACAGAAAGCCAGCCTTCTTCTTTCTGCGAAAGACACATGTGTAGAAGCAACCTGTGCGCTCAGCGGTGATCTGGAGGGTCTCACGCGCAGCATGCAGTGCGTCCTTCACTGTGACACATTCGAAGAACTGGCCAGCGTCATGCACGGTGGCCTGCCATGGCGCCTTGGCACATCCACACCTTCCACATGTGAAGCGGTTGTCTGGAACGTGCAAGTCTGAGAGCCTCTTGCGGATGATCGCCGGGGCATCGCGTAAGTTCCAGACTTGCCAATTTCCAGGGCCACGCTCGAGGGCAATCTGCAAGCCCCTGGACACCATCCGCCAGCAGGACTTCTTCGGCCACGTTGCCCAACTGATGATTTTCCGGACGCAAGAATGTCCCTCCACGAAACAGCTACGACCGGCACGCCCAGCTGTCTTGAAACATTTTGCCTTGATTGTTGCGTAGGAATACGGCAACACCCAGGTGCGCCGACTCATCCCGAGGAAGCTCATGAGGTGCTTAGGGAGAAGGGCAATGACGAGATCAAAGACCAGCTGGTTCGCCTGCACGGCGCACATGGCGGTCACTTGCCAGTTGGCAGCGAGCATCACGAAGTACGCCAGAAGAAAATGATAGACATTCCGAGGCATTCTCCAGGCGAACTTCTTGCATTTGTCATCCGGTATGAGGGAGCAGACCGAAGTAGGCTGCATGCCTTTGGTGTGGGCATTGTATTGCGCTCTGCAAGCATCTCGGCGCCGACGGTATGCATGCCATTCCTCTTTGAGCGGGCGATAGCCCTTGCAAGCAGCAACTAGTGCAAATGCTTTCCCTAGACACCGCTGGAACTCCACATTCAGCTCACTGTTCTTCAAGAACCGGGGGACGTCCCAGGCTTTCTCCACCCTCTGCATAGCACGGCCCTGGAGCGCATCTTGCATCGTGCCTTCTGGCATGCAGCGGAAAACTTCCCAAACCAGAGATTTTGCATCTCGTACATGCGTCCAGGAGTCTTTATGGGAGCGAGTGCAAGGGCATCGTTCACAAGCTTCCTCAAACGCTTCAGCCTTTGAGGCCCTTTTACCAGGTGACACAGTCTCGCCACTGCGACTGGTCCACAGGGGACCTTCCAGGTTCTTTCGAGCAAGGACCAGTCCAAAACATTTCCCGCGGCTGCCCAGATCATCAGCAGCTCCCTGAACATTGGCATGTAGATGCTTAGGGGGCCAGCGAGCGCCCGGGCAGCCATGTGACATCGATGCAGATGCCTGTAAGCTTGTGAAAAAGACCACTGGGACAGATCGACTTCTTCAGGGGCTATCGAAGGAGCTACCCTTTTGTCTAGCTGGCGAGAGCCCACGTGACCTTCCCAAGCAGCATGCTTGGGCCTCGCGCTGGCACTGCGGCGGCGCCACTTCGGAGGGCGCCTTCGGTGGCCGCCTTTGCAACGAGAACGTCCTTGGTCAGCGGCAGGCCTGGCATTCGCATTGGGTTTGTGGACTTGAATCTCGAGAAACTCCATGGCAGCAACTTGGTTGACAGGCCCAACAAAGGTTGGAAGCCACCAGAAAGCTCCGCCAGCATATGCCCTGGCCCTTCGGTAGCGAAACTTCTGGGAATCTCGGTGATGCTGGCGAGTGCGAAGAGAAAGATGCTCCACTAGACGACTTACTGGGCCCCCTGACTTGCACTGCTCTGAACGGCGGGCACGGGCCATGCCCACGTATCTGAAACCACGCTGCCACCAGCAGTAAAGCCATGCAGAGTCTGTCTGTGCCTCCGGCCTGAGCAAAGCTGCCAGCTGCATGTTTAAGAACAGGTTCAGCGCATCACTCTTGTTTGTCGTTGCATCTGGCCACCAAACTTCTCGGACAAAAGCAGGCATCATTCTCCCGATCTGCTTTGCTAGATTGCTTCGCCAGTGCATGCGGAGCCAGATGGCACTGCGTGCCATTGTAACAGCTCCAAAGATCTGCTGCACATGAAAGGACGTGCGGCACCATCTTGCTGATGGCTTCCAAATCCAGTCGAAGAGAGCTTGGTTCAGGATGTCCAGACAGCGACAAACACTGTTTGGAGGCCGTCGTTTGGAAAGCATCCAAGCCACGACGGCAAAGACACACAAAATCAGTCGATAGGCCAAGGCATCTACCGACTCAGCAGATGTGCTCTGAAGATTCCGAGCGTGGCTGATGGACATGCCGTCACATAGCAGAGTTAGGGCCGAGACCACTGTGTCCAGCACCGCTCGTTTGTGAGCGCAGCGCGCCAGCTGATCACACTGGCGCTGGAAAGGTTCGATATCGAACATATGGATATATATGGAAATATGGAACACCAGGCGAGTGGTTGTACAAAGCTTCACCGTAGCGTAGTCGCCGGACCGAAGCCTGATTCCAACAAATGGACTTCAATGCAGATTCCTTTTCAACACGCTGCAACTCGTGCCATCTCGAGAGCCGGGGGAACGTGAGCGCTCTCTGCTGTGCACTCCCCGCTGCTGATTTCAGCAGCAAGATGGCTTGAGCGTAGTGCTGCGCAAGCCGCTTTAATGAAAACGGGGACGCGCCAATTTGAGTCTGCCTGCGTGGCTGAAAGATAGAAGACCTGGAAAGACGAACTGCGGCTTACAGGGGAGACTACGACGCATCACAGGCACTGCAAGTTCAGCGCATCCCTCCTACAAGAGACGGGCTTCAATACTGCACACCTGGACACAATGTCTCATGGACAAGCAAAGCACATGAAAATCCTGTCTATAGCTTCTGATGTGGGTACCGAGCCGGAACCTGAAACATCAGCTCAAACGGATCATCGAAGTGCTTGTAAGCAAAGCTTTGTGGGGGAGCTCGCTTCTGCAAGCTTCTATGGTGAAGACAACTTCTTGTGGGTGCTTCCTCATTCATGGCACCTGAGAATATGCCTTCTTGAAACTCAACAAACCTGTGCGAGTGGGCGAGCGTGGAACAGGCCTTAGTGCGGTGGAGCTTGGTCCCTTCGGGTGTTGCAAAGTAACGCGTTGGTGCTCCACCTGCCTGCTCACGCGTGCGAGTTGTTTGTGAGGGGCGGCGTCTGGGCGCAGCAACAGACTGCGAGCTTGCTGCCTCCTCACGTGCAGAGATCTCGGCCTGGATGGCCTGCGCAGTTTGATCTCGAAGGCGCTGTAACTTGCGCGCCTTCCGGGGGCTCAGAGACAACACGGGTGTCCCTGCCTCTCGGCGGGAGATGACGCCTTGAAGGCACCACTTGAAGAACTCCCACACTGCAATGAAGCAGATACCAACGCAGATGATGGATACTGCCAACATCAAATCTGCATCAAGCGACACGGGGAGAGACAAGTCTTCTTCCTCGTCCGTTGTCTGGCTGGCAGCACCTACGACCTGAAAGAAGGCGAGCAGGACAGCGAAGGCACTCAGCTGCAGGTCTTGCTGCGCCACGGTCCCAGTGCCCACAGCTTGAATTTCACTGTAGGCCTGAGCTTCCGCCCGGCGATGTACGCCATGCTCAAGCAAACCCCAGATGGCTGCGAGTTCAATGATCCTCGCAGATGGCAGTGCTTTCGTCAGAAGATCTGCGGCCTGCTCAACTCCTGGGCAGTAGACAGGGATGATCTCACCAGACTCATACTGCTCTCGAAGGTAGTTGGCGCGCACCCTTAGGTGGCGGGTTCGCCAAGACCCTTGGCCAATAGCGATGGCCAGTGCAGACTGTGAGTCAACCCTCAAAGTCTTGTCGAAGCTAGAAACTCCGAACTCACTCAGCATGGCCTCTGCTGACTGAAGGGCAACTACCGCGTCGAGTCCAGCAACAAGCTCGGCTTCTGCGGTGCTGAGAGTGACAAAAGACTGTCGTGCTGAACGCCAACACACCGGCGACCCGTGAAGGAAAACCACCCACCCCGTGTGAGACCGATTCCCTTCTGGTGCGTAGCTGGCATCACTGTATGCGATCAAGCCTGTGTCATCCGCGTCAGCGGTGAGGGATAGCGCCTTGGTACGCTGCACATACGCAAGGGCCTTTTCTGCAATGCGGATGGCTCGTTGCGGCGCCTTCGTGCTGAGAGAGGCGAGCACACAGGCAGTGAAAGCTAGGTCAGGCCGGGTGCGCTGGCTCAGCCACAGGATTTCTCCAGTCAGTCTCTGCGCTGTTCGAACGGTCTCCTCGGTTGGGGACTCGTCCGTTAGGAGAGTGTCAAACGAGACAAGGTCTCGCGGACAGGGGACCTTACCTAGTGCAGTGGGCTTCACGTTGTTGAGACGCAGCAGCTCTTCGGCGTAAGCCTGCTGGGACAACACAAACCCAGAACCTTGCACTAGGATTTCAACCCCTAAAAACCTCAGCGGGTGCTCTGCGGTGGCAAGTGCGAGAGGCGTCGTTTTCCAGATGCCCTGGATGGCCGCAGCCAAGGCTTCGATCACCTCTTTGCTGCCTGCAAGCAAAAAGTCGTCAACGTAAGTGAGCAACCCTCCTACGACTACCCCGTCAGAGGTGCGAACAACACGCCACCAGTTTGGGTCCAACCTTCCTTGCTGGAGCTGCAGCTCAACTCCGTCAACAACACACCTCAGCGCCCGAAGTTGGCAGTCCCTGAAGTCCGACCAAAGCTTAGGCGACTCCCTCAACCCGTACACAGCGTGCGTGAGGATCCAAAGCTCCCCTTCCTCTGCCAAACCTAGTCTCACTAGCAACCTAGGCGGCGTGAGAGCAAACACTGGAAAACCTCTGCCTTGCGGGATTGGGGTCAACAGAAAAGCTGAGGTGACATCTAGAGACCCGATGCACCAATTCCTCTTGGAGCTGATGATTACAAAACAACGGAGTGTCTCTGCAGCAGCACCTGAAGCGTAGACTTCGGACCCCGTGCCTGGGGCGTGGTTGCCACAAGCAACCAGGCGAGCCTTGCGCTTGTGGTAAGCCTGACCCTTCCGGGTATCGAGGGAGGCTTCAGCAGGGTCTGGTGGCTTGACTGTAAACACAAACTTAGACGGAACTACCTTCACTTCCTTACGCCTAAGCCAACCTCCCGAACGGACCTCTGCAGGGGGCAGTCGCCGCACAGCCTTCTCAATGACACCGATCTCTTTGTGAATGGACGGCATCCACTTCTCGATGCATTGCTCTGCATCCCGAGGGTCTACTGTGTGGACTACCTGCAGTGGTTCTTGCAACCCGTCAAGCAACAGCTCCACGTTGGTAGTGTAAACCGGCTCAGACTTGCAAAGGGCACAAGCTTCACTCGCGTCCGAGTCGTCAGACTTGAGAACACACAGCTGCTCACCTGTCTGCGGGTCTGGAACCCACAACTCCCACAGCACTGGCTGTTCCGGCAAGGAGTCTTCGCTTAAGCCCTCCTCCTCCTCAACCTGGTTGGCAAGCCAGCAGGGCGTGCTCAGACTGGGTTCGCCTTTGGTCCGGCGAGTGTTTCAGGTTCCACGACACCTCCAGCTCTACAGTACCTGCTTCTACGGCTTGGGTTTCTTCCCAACCTCCGCCTTTAAGCACAGTCCCAGGCGCTAACTCAGAAGTCTTCCCGTCAGGGTGACGTGCCGTTGTCTCCTGAAGGGGCTCTTCTTCGAAGCAGTCAAACGCGTCTAGACGTCTCACGTCTTGCTGCTCAGTCAGCGGTAAACGTACCGACGCTGGGAGTGGAAAACCTAAAGCTTCAAGTAATTGAAACTCGTGCTCAAGCTCTTTGCCTAACGTGTTGACAGTGTAGCCGACAAGGACTGCTCTCTCACCCTTCCAGGGAGTGGTGGCGTGGCGGCGAGTAGGGTCTAGGAAGAAGGGCTTACCGCGCTCTAACTTGTGAGTTGTCCCTAACCAGCGCCTGCCTTTGCCGTCTACCCGCTCCTCTACAGGGCCACTGACTAGGTCACCAGACTTGAGTTCTATCCACAAATCCCCTCCGTTAGGCGGGAGCTTGAAAGGGAGGACTACATTTGTGGATCCTTGCAGGTTGTGGTGGTCGGCGTGCACGGGTTGAACAGTGGAGTTAGACAACCAAAGCGAGGTGTACTCAGCTGTGGGTGCAACTGCGGAAAGCACCATATTCATAAGCTCTGTCAGCCAAGGCTTTTCTGTGGTACCCCCTAAAACTCCTACGACACCTCCGTGACGGTACAACCCAGCTTTGTGTTGCAGCTGGGGCGCTGCTCTGCACACTTCGGCTAACACCCACAACGCTTCATCAAGGTCCCAGTCGTCCTCGATAAGCTCCGTAGCTAAACCTTCTAGGTCTTGCAGACTCAAGCGCGCTACACGGGCAGACTCCTCCTCAAATGGCATATTCGTTGGATCTGGTCCTCTGGCTTTTGGGTCTGGTCCTGTGAAAGTCTGTGTAGTCTGGCTCAAACAGTTAGTATGTAGACTTGATGCTTTGCGATGTTCATGATGCTGCTGGACTCATTCAGAGCGATTGCCTAAAAAAAGAACCCTAAATATATTATGATAAAAAATGAGGCTCAAACACATGATGCTCCTGGTGCTTCTTGATGCATCATGATGCTTCGACTGACTTCATGCAGAGCGAGTGCGAAGAAAACCCTAAACCCGCACCCTGTCCCTAAAACATGAGTTTCAGTCCGACAACAGTTCTGCATGACAGTGCTTTGCTGATGTCTGAGCTTGGAATCAGTTCAAAAGTGCCTTTCTGCTGCTGCTGCAGCTGCTAGATCAAGCCGACTGAAGCCAGCCCCAGTATCGTTGACATGGGCAAGGTCAACAAGGCAGCAGATGATGAGGGAAAGAGTGCTGAGTTTACCAGCAAAGATGCCGTGAAGTTGATCGCCAGTGGCAAGTTGAAGATTCGCCGAATGATATCTCTTATCCCGTGACTGGAGAAATCAGTTTCCTAGTCGCACGAAAATGTTCAATTCTGGGCTCTCGTTCCTTCTTTCAAGTAAGGCTTGGCCCGGCCCTCAGCCCGGAAGCTGGCCCGTCGCCTCCGCCGAGTTGTGAAGTTCTTGCAAGAGCGGGGGCTGGTCAAGAAAGATGTGCCAAATGATGATAAGAAGAAGACAGAAATGATGTAGTGCTGCAACGAAACCGGGACGAAGACAAGGCGGCACCAAGTGAAAACAGTCGTCCGCCGTACTGTTCGGCACAGGCATCGCAGAGAAACATGTCAACACTAAGCTCTGGAATGCAGAGCATTTGCAATCCGAGTGTTTGCCTGGGCAGCTCTGCAGCTGTGAGTATCTCGAACAGGTGCCGTGTTGATGCTGTATGATTCCTTCAGATTTTCTGATCCTTCCTGAGCCGAAGCCTGATCTTCTAGAGGTTATCTTCTAGGGGATTTGGTGTGCTTAGCACTACGTTTCAGGCTTAGGTCTGAAGGTTTAGGGTCTGATGTCCCGAATTGTGTATGTGTTTGGCAATTGTTGAGCTCTAGGCTTTTGGGAGCTTAGGTTTGAAGGCCTTGGGTCTATGTGTTTGGCAATTACTTGAAGCTTTGAGATCTAATTTGAGGTTCCTGATTTAAGCCCTAAACCCTATAAACCCTAATTCCTCCTAAACCTTGCTCTCCGAACTTGGACCGATCTGGGACCCGGCTTGAACCCCGAACCAGAAGCCTCGAACCCTAAGCGTCTCGGGGGCCGGGGGAGTGTTTGTGTTGCTGCTGTTCGGGGTCGATGCATCTCGCTGAAGCCGTGCGCCGATCCTGCCGCAAAGCTTCGGAGTGTGATAGTGCCGGGGTCCGGCTGCAATCGAAACTGCAAACTGGTGTTGCTAGGTTGTCCTGGGAGAATTTACAGCGAGCACGTGTTCGGATCCTTGCTTGATTTGGAACTAACTGTTCTTAGGAGTTCCTTTTTGGGGTTGAAGTTCTTGCCTGCACTTAAGCCAGACCACTACAGGAGCCTGCAGAAGATACCCTTGAAGAAGACTGTTGTCAAGCGGCGATACAACAACGACAAGCGAGCTGCGAACGCTTGTGCTGTCCCGAAGAAAAGGTAGCTTGCCTGGCAACCTAAGGAACATCGTCGTCGTATTAATAGTAGGTCTATACCGACCCGAGTCATTGTATATGAGCCCCTTTCTCAGTTTCCCAGGCCTTCTCCGGAGAAAGAGCGGCTCGAAGCCGTCCTGGCTTGCAGCCGCTGCAACTGCACCCGGGGCAACTGCTTCAAGCGACTTCGGGCTGAGAAGAAGCAGCTGCAGGAGTTTCTTACTTCGTTCCGTTCGCTGGGGAAGGTTGGGCAAGATGCGTTTGTGCCTAGTCTGATACTTGGAATAGGTACTTTGTTTTTTCGGAGTTGGGAACTTTGCAAAAGGATGAAGTTGAAGTCATCACACTAAGATTTACGACAGCTTTGCTACTGCGGGCAGCGAGCAAGACGCTGCCAAGAGATCGTACAATCTGCTTGGGATTACAGTGGGGCGGCACTGTTTGTGCACAGTTCTGGGGATTGGAAATGGACGGCTTTGCAAAGCTGCTTCAGGGTTCGTGGATACCCGATTTTCAAGCAACGTGCCCCTGCACCGTGCGCAGCACAAAGCGAGAAGTGCGGATGTTTTCTTTCTTCGCCTACATGGTACCATTGCAGAGATTTTGCCTACAGGGCCTTGGCCTCAAGAGATACTCTTCCTATGCAATGTAAGCCTCGATTGGTAAGCCTCGATTGGTGCTAAGCCGGGCTCAGGTTTCTGATGGCAAACCAGCAACACCGCAGCGGCTCTAGCAAGGATGCGCCTGTGCAGCCGGACCTTGACAAAGATGACCTGGCCCTGCCGGGCGAAGCTCTCGAGGATGATGAGAACCTAAGGCTTGAGGTGAACATTGACCGGGAAGTTTGGAATCGGTGGCTCGGCTACTCGTGATGTTTTGCAACTTGTTAGCCTTCTGCTTCATGCTGCTGCCGCGGTGAGACTAGAAGCTGTGGCGACCCAGGCATGTCACGACGACCCACGGCTTCAACATCCAGAAGCTCCCACGGCGATATTTTCCGCCAGGCACTGTCATGGACCTCTTCCGTCACTACTGTTCGACCCAGCCCAAAGATCATGCCTCGCCCCTTGAAGCAGGAAGTTCGTCTGTTTCCTAATCAATGGACCCATAATAGATGTGCAACAGATTCAAACTGTGTCTTTTGCCAAATTCAAGGTATTCTGTGTTCAAGAGCCGGTACCAACAGAAGTGGAAGTTCTGCTCGCCCTTCCGTCCGCAATCCGCATTCGCAGAATGCAACCAGTGCTTCGATCTGATGCAGGAAATCAAGGCAGAGAAGGCCACTATTAAGCTTTTGCTGTCGGCTTGGGTCGTCTTTTCATAAAGGGTCTTAAGTGCTGAACCCTAACTAAACCATTACGAAAACTCAACATGCCAATCAGGATCTTTGCAAAAAGTTCGGGCTGATACGCGACTATAAGGATCACTTACGTGCGGTTGGTTTCGATCGTGAACTTGAGCAACACCTGGAGGGGCTCGACCCGCACAGCAGCGATGCCCCTATTCTCGTACTGCAATTTGATGGAATGGATCAGGCGAAGTGGGCACTGCCACGATTTCCCGAAAACAGAGGCTCCAAGTTCCTTCAGCAGTTCATACGTCCACGGCTAAAAGTCGTGGGTGTTTGGGCTTCAAGATACCTCCTCACTTTGTACCTCGTCGACGCAAACATAGCCCACGATGCATCGCTTACTGTCGAGGCTCTAAGTACAAAACCGTTGCTAAGTCAAGCCAAACCTCACCTTCAGGTTCCCTCTAATCCATTCGTGTTCCAGCAACGGCCCCACAGGTGCTGTCGCGAAGCATCGAGGATATCATGAAGCATTGCGACTCGAATGGCCTTCGCAGGCCAGTCGAGTTGATTTGCTGGGCTGCTCGTCGTGCCAATACAGAGGATGTTAGGGCCCAGTCATTCACAACAGACTGACTTGAGGGGGTTGGGTTCGGGCTTTAGGCTTGGGCTGCAGGGTTGGGGCTTAGGGTGTGGAAGTGGCGGTTCAGGGAACTTGGGTTTAGGGTTATGCTGTTATGCTCGGCTTTCTAGCCGAGGCCGACAATACCGTCCGGGAAAACAAAAACCGGACGGTTCTGGGCTACCTGATGCATTTAGCAGCCTCCAAGGGATTTCGAGTTACCAACTTGACATCATCCCGAGTGGGTCACACCCACAATCGCCTGGATGCCCTCTTCGGTTTGCTGTCCACAGCAGTGTGGTACGAAGATTCCCTTCTAGATATGGAAGACACCCGCCGGAGACTTGACTAAACATATCCACGTAGGCATCAATTGTCATGCATCGGTACTAGTCTTGGGGCCTGCAGGTTCTATGACATCTGAAACCAGTGTAGAGTATCCCGACCAAAAACACCTTCCCAAGGAAACTGGAATCCCTGCTACGTCGACTGAATGTCCAGTCCTGGGTCGGCCCGAATGCGCTGATGAAGGTTGTCGCCTTGGGACATGTGAAGGACTGGCAGAAGTGGTTTCTCGCTCTGCAGTTATGGGTTAACGGTAGAGTTACCGGTTATTGCTTCGATAGACAGAATGCGTCCTAAACCCGCATAAAACCCTAAACTCTATAGCCTGCTCCAGACCCGGACGTCGCACCACCCAAAGAAGATCCTAGTCCCTCTGATGATCGCCAGGGTGGATTCTCTCAGAGTTCACTGGCATGGCGCTTTGCTGGATACGTCCGAAGGTGTGCACTCCTTTACATTCATGCGGAGGCATGGTAGCTTGCCGGCAACTATTCTTTCTGTCGGGGTCTAACGGAGGCTTGTGAGACTTTCTCCACAGTGTATCGGAATAGAATGTGAATAAGATCTCCAGGCCTTTCTAGATTAGAAGTCTAGCCGCTAGCAGTTCTCAGTTTGACTTGGGGCCTGCAGGTTCTCTTTGTCGGGTTAGAGGCACGAGCCGTGTGGTTGTCGTTTGAAACTATCAACATAGACATCACACGACAACTTAGTGTAAGAAACAATCCCAAAGCTTCTTGTTCCCAAAGTAAGCTATCATTGGACTTTCCCGGTATGACCCAAGACTCCCGCATCGTGACTTCAATCCTAAACCCTGAAATCGGTTACATAGGCTTCTGAGAAACCCTCGGCCCCAATTCTAGCAGCAGCCCAGATGTTCCAAGCGATGCTCGCATTCATTCGGAAGGGCCGGTTGCACGGACCGTTGCGAAGTCTGACTTTGATGTGATATGTTACGTGAAGCGATACGCTTCGGATGAGTCTGTTTCACAGAAGCCGCTCTTGGCTTTACCGCATGCCTTCCTGTCCCGATTGCCGGCAGCACTGCCTACTGAGCAAAGAGCATTGGCACCACTATCCGCTGCAAGGAGGAAACAGTGGCTGGCTCTAGCAGAGGAGCTCTTTCGAAGAAAGCGCTACTCTGCTGAATCCATCAGATACCTCTTGAAGGCTGCTGAGGGTGGCACAATTGTGGTCGAGGACGAAGTGCCTTTGCCTTGGCACTGTGCCGACCATGAGCATGGAATTGTTCGTTTGGAGGATGCTCCGCCGAATACGTTCCTGAAGTTGTTTCCTGTTGCAAGATTCAAGGCAACACTGCGAAGGCAATTTACCATGCAGCTGCCCAGGGCCTCTCAACCCTATCAAGATTGAAAGTAACAGCCATCATTATGGGTGACTAGAAGGTTCAATTGTTCGAGGAGACTGAGGCCGGTGGCACAGAGCTGTTAGGAATGGTTTGGACAAAGTCCAGCTTCCGAAGTGCATACTTGCGGTTCGCAGAAGTGAAAACTACGTCGTTTCGTAGTTGCAATGCTCGCACACGCCCTTCAAGTCGAATAGCTTACGCTTGCTGCAGTCACTGCAGGCACATGTTTACTGTCACCATGATGACGATGGCCGTTGACAATTGCACCGCTTGCAGGATTTTCAAGACAGGAAATTGCAGGAGGTCTACGACATTCATAATCTTGATGCAACTTCATGCTTCAGGGCTCTAGGTCTGGGGGCCTTCATGCTTCAGGGCTCGAGGTGCGGGGGCCTTCAGGCTTCAGGGCTCTAGGTGTGGCGGCTTCGGCTGTAACGTCTAGATGCAACTTCATGCTTCAATCACGATCCAGGGCGGCAGGGTCAGGGCTTCGGGCCGCGTCCAGCATGGACTCGGAGGAGGAGCGGCTCTTGGGGGAGAATGGGCCCTCTGACTCGGAAGAAGAACGGCTGTCGTCTCAAGCGCCGCCCGCATAAACTTCGTCCTCTCTCCCTGCCTAAACCAAAACTAAGACCTCTAAAGCCAGATTCCCAAAGAAATCCCCGATCCCGGAATTGAAACTTAAAGTCTCTACGCCCTCAACACCCAAGCCCAAGACCTCTTAGGAATCAAGCAATCGCCCACAGCCCAGGCAAGACGGTCCAGAGCAACAGCCACTTCACTTTTCGGTGGGTGCTGCCATCAAATCAATGCAGCTGAAGGCCCGACTTGGGTCTGGAAGTGGGGTTTTTACATTCCGCGTTCCCTGCCAGGCCTCTGGCCAGCCGGAGCCAGGTCTGGGCAAAAGGCACGGAGCAGGAAAAAAATCTACGGAACCGATCTTCCGGCATCGACTGCTCCCGGGGGTCCACGAAATGTTTCGGAACAGTTTCACTGGCCGCGAAGGCGTGGATACTCGTGATTAAGAATAGTTCAGGTTCGAATGTTTGGGTTCAGACACGTGCAAACTCATATTCCACACTCCCCAGGTTTCTCGAGAAGGCCCAAGGGAGATGGGGTGCAGCCTGGGTGGTGGCACGACTGGCGGAAAACCTCAGCTGGTTCCTGACTACAACCTTTTCGGGAATTGGATGCTTCGAACTGGCTTGTGAAAGTGCACATGGTCCGCACTATGGTCCGAGTTGTGTATGATGTGGCTCTGTATAATCTCCGACCTAACCTAATAACCCAGGGTCCGGTGGTTGTAGTGCAGCACAGGGTAGGATTCCTGCTTTACCCTAACTTGCCCGAACCTACCCTAACCTACCTACGCTACCCTACCCTACTACCCAATCCTACCCTACCCTACCCACCATGCACATCAGGTCCAGACTGTGGCCCGAGCAGCCATCCGCCGAGCTGGGTTGGATGAGACTTCGGCCTGCATCCAGCTTGGTTCTTCCACCGACTACTGCCAGCACTCCCAGAATGTCCTGCAAAACACGTTTCGCTACCGGTGTGTGTCGGATTCTAAGTTGAAACTTGTTGCAGTTATGTAGTGACAGCCACTTTTGGCAGCACTCAGCAATGACTAGAATTAAGTACCAGGTTCGGTGACGTTCTCGAATGGCGAGGGGATGACGGGCTGATGAATTCTGCCTGGTGCACTACGCATCGGAAAATGTGCCCCCTCCCGGATGGCAACAGACATGGACGACGGTTTAGGGTAGAATGCGCTGGGGCCTCTTGCCAGCCCTTCAGTTCGGCTGGGAAACGGACCAAGGCGCTTTCTTGTTTCCACAAATTGAATAGTGGAGTCGGGGTTCTATTTCGATCGGTTTAGGGTTCAGGGATCTCCACTAGCATCATACTAGCCGAATAGTACTTATCAGAATAATAGCTCCTTCCATGCACCATAATAATAGAAGCCACCCTGCCCTGCAGACAATGCACTCTGCCTTCGCTTCGCACACTGTCTGGCACGACATGCGGCTGCAGCACCGGGAGGCCTGCCTGGGCACAGGGTGCCAGGAAGCTTTTTGATTGAAGCAACTTTACATTGCATCCCAACCCTGTTCATTTTTATACATACTGAAGTCCTTCAATGCTTGTTTCCACAGGATATCATCGTCTTCGAGAACACACCACTGTTTCAGATGGACATCCTCCGCGAACGATTCGGAAGCTGGCCCGCACTTACTGAATCCAGCTGTCGCAGGAAACATTACCTATGGTCCCCATTTGTAGTTCCTTTTTCTTGTTTACCAAGTTTATAGTATAGGATCCTAACCATAAAACCGGTTAACCAAAAAAGGAACTACAATCAGAGACTATAGGTACATGTCAAGTAGGGGTTTAGGGTTTCGGGTTTTGGGGTTAGTTTAGGGTTGTGGGGTTAAGGGTTTAGGATACAGTTCCTCTGCCATGTTCCAATGAAAGATTAATGAGGACGGCACTACGAGATTCGATCGGTGCGCTTCTGTTCCCGACACCTGGGCTTTTGGCTGTGCGAGAGCGAGACTGTGGGCTATCATGACGAAGAAAGAGACTGTCAGATGGACGACGAAAACGAGCCTGCAAGACCTGGTTTCCACATTCTTTGCGAAACCACGCATGCATGTGCTCGGCCTGCTTAGCCCTACGTGTTCTTCGGGGTCGGGCGGATATGTTTCTCGACTTCGGGCGGTTTTGTTTTTCATCAGATGGAGTCGGTACGGTTTCGCCTTCGATCAGATCTCCTTCGAGATTGATGGCCATTCCAGGTCCTACCATGATTGCTCTAGAAATCCCGCCAGACGTGCGGTTCGTCTTATGGTAAAATAATAATAGTCCAGGGTCATAATGAGAATGCAGGATTTCTAGCAACAATGGTGGTGACCATTACTCTGATTGTACACTATACAGGACAAGCACTGGCCATTTCTCTGAATGACTCAGAATCCAAGCAATATTTGCAGTACCTGCTCGTAAGTCATCTTGAACTTTAACTCGTGCCAGATGTCCGGGTGGCGATAGTAAATTGCATCCATCGCCAGTTTTGCACATTTCGCTCAGCCCCAAAAGGCCAGTAAATGGCCCGTTTGTCCACTTTCGAATAAATAATAACACAACCCCTCGGCCATATCCCCAGTAGATTGCGTCTTCACATCTGAGTCATGGTTGATGATATACCACTCCGGAGAAATCAAACAGGTTGGCTGGGTTGTGCTCAGGCCGGCGACTTCTTCTATATGAAGAAGATGAAGTCTTGCAAGGCTGACCCGTTGACCGATGCCCAGCTCCGAACCAAGAGGTCTTATGATGAGGTCTTTGGGAATGCCAAGAAGGCATTCGCAAAAGGGATTTCAGAGGGGCTCCTTCAGGATTCCACCGATGTGGTAAAAGTTCTCTAGTTTCCTGAAACCTTAAAGCCTTAAACCCCCAAAACCCTAAACTCCAAAATCGTCTCTACGTCATTACAATGCCCATCGAGGTCTATGACCTGTCCCAAGCTGCGGCCAGTCACATGAGAACTGAGCTGGAAGATGGGTCGTTAATGACTTTGAAAACAAACTGTGGCAAGATCTATTCTGTTCAGCAGAATCGCCTCATGAACACAGAGGAGATATTCTCTACTTTGTGTGTCCCGACGAAGACCCAATTCGTGACATGTCTATACCACTGACGACTCTTGTTTCATATTTTCTTCGTAGCTGGAATCAACTGAAGTTATTCTCAGCCCCATCTGAGGCATCCGCTGCTGGAAGCCCGATGATCGACGTGGGCAGCCTGCCGAACAGTGCAGCTTTCACGCTAGCTGGGAATGCGATGCATGTAGCACAGGCAGGTGCCATTGCAATCATTGCAGCCCTGTTCATCGACCGAGTCTAGCCTGCGATGAAGCTCTTCGTAGAATCGCCTTGAGCCCAGGCCTGCAACAGGCTTTAGCTTGATTCTAGTCCGGCCCCACACCTCCATCCCAGAGTTAATTTTGTAAAGCTACTGAGTAAAAGATGCCCCGCCCGCAATCTCGAAAAACTCAAGGCCGAACCTGAATCCTAGAGTAAGCAACCCTAGCTTTCCAAGCGAGCTGTGATACTGTAGATTCAGAAGCAGAAACACAGCTGTACAGAAATTCGAGATGGCTGACTGTAGGGTCTATATAGCTGTCAATTCATCTTGCTAGCTTCGAGCTCCGACTAGACTTACGACATGGGGCACCGGCGGCAAGAACGTCCGAATCTTTGAAGGGGCTTTCGCATACACTGCATTGCAATCAAGAGAGCATTATCCAACCATTCCGCAGACGGTTTTCGTTTCAACTCGCTGTGGCTTCGCATACGCATACAGTGCATTGCAATCAAGAGAGCATTGTCAAACCATTCCGCAGACGGTTTCTGTTTCAATTCGCTGTGGCTGAGTGCCACGAGGGCCGGCGATGGCCCCAGAAAAGGGCGGGAAGGCCTCGAACAAGAAGGCCAAGCATGAGGAGACCTGGGTGGGCAGGATGATGAAAGCCCTCGAGCTTCTCGAATAAAACCAGTCAGTTGGCTTGCAGCTTTTAAGCTTGTAGTTCCGTAGTTTCAGCAGCTAAGACGCTACAACCCTGAACAAGATGAACACCCCTGCCGTTTGGTCGAGAAGTACTTTGGTCCGGGCTCCAATGACACAATTCTACAGGCTGTGAACCATTGGCTCGCAACCAACGGGCAGGCGGAGGTAGGGACCATAATTCTGTGACATGCGGATCGTACACTCAGTGTATGTGTCAGTGTGCTGCTGCTGCTGCACCCAATGTCAGGTGATCGTGGACACCCGCTACTTTCCCGCCGAGAACGTCCCCGCCAACATCCCGATCCTGGCTCTGAGCCTTCCCATCCCGGTGGACCAGGCCCCGCCTATGGTACCTTGGGCCAAGTTTGCTCCGTCGATTTGGGCAGCATGGGAGAATGAGAGAGAGCCCCTAGAAGTGAGACCCCTGTCGAGTCCACTGCTGCGAGCGGGCGACCGCCTAACACACGCTTCTGTAGGGGTGTGCCGGGGCTACAGTCGGAGCACGATCATCTGCTTTGGTATATGCCGAACCCTCATGATCGAAGATCTCGCAACAATGCTGCAGAGCGAGAAGGACGAGTTCACGAGGTGGGGATACACATATTAGTCCATGCATTGTCTAAAGAAACTCCTCATTCCTGCTTCTTTGGAAAAACTTCATTCAGTTATTATTAGAAAGTAGCAAAGAGGTACCGACCACTCAGTCCAGAGCATATTATGAGGTTCAAACTTGAGTCACGATGTGTTTTTTCGGACTTACATACAGCTGAGGTTGAGGGCTCTTTTGGGCATTCCAGTTATTTCTGGTCCAGGTGGTGGTTGTGGCTCTTATGGCTGTTGTTCTCAGAATCATTCTTGCTGGTGGGTGGAGTTATTGCTGCTGTTGCTCTTCTTAGTTTTGTTGTAACTGTAACAATGTTGCTGTTGCTGTTGTTGCTGATGCTGCTGTTGTTGTTGGTGTTGTGGGTATATTGTCATTGCCACTGTTGTTGTTTTTGCTGTTAGTGTTGTTCCTGCTGCTGCTGCTGTTGTTGTTGCTGTTGTTGTTGCTGTTGCTGTTGCTGTTGCTGTTGCTGTTGCTGTTGTTGCTGTTGCTGTTGCTGTTGCTGTTGTTGCTGTTGCTGTTGTTGTTGTTGTTGTTGCTGTTGTTGTTGTTGTTGTTGGTGTTGTTGTTGTTGGTGTTGCTGTTGTTGGTGTTGGTGTTGGTGTTGTTGTTGTTGTTGCTGTTGTTGTTGTCGTATTATTATTATCATCATCATTATTATTTGTTGCTGTTGTTCTTGTTGTTGCCGTCGCACACAGACCCAAAGCAAGTCGATTTCGAACCTCCGAAAAGCACTATTGAAATCGACTTGGTTTGGACCAAAGTACGTCGATTTCTTTTTGTGTAGGCACTACCCAATCGAAAAAGTTAGTCAACGCGAAACGGTCCCAAAGACTAGGGGAATCGACTTGGTGACCGCTACACATAATGAAATCGACTTGGTTTGGACCAAAGTACGTCGATTTTGAAAGCTTATATGGGCCTTCGGTTTTCGACTTGCTTTAAGTAGGCTGGATGCCATTCAGATGGCATGATTTGATCTCAATAAACACTATTCGACACCAAACGGAGTCCTAGTCCAGAGACAGTGAAACGGACTTGGTTTGGGCCAAAGTACGTCGATTTCTGCCACAACTCAACGCACATCCAAACCACGTCGATTTCTGGGGGTGCCTAGTATGCGGGGACCGAAACCACATCGATTCCTGGGGGTCCCTAGTATGCGGGGACCGAAACCACGTCGATATTTTCTAGTATGCGGGTATCCAAACCACGTCGATTTTATGCCAGGAATTATCTCCGGTCCGGCCCACGACCCGAATCCCTATTCCGAGCTGGAACACGTTCCTTCCAATCATCATTCATTATTTCAATAAATCATTCTCCGCTATGATCTGATGAACGATTATTACAATAATGTAAACTCCAGTCGGTCCTGGGAATCCTTACCACATAATGCTATATGAAACTTGAAGTTCAAAGCTCACTCCATGTATCAGATGGCAGTTGGACTTTAAGTTTAAATACTACGTCGATATGCTAAGGCCCTAAAGCCGCATCTTCTCTCCAACTTGGCGAGGTGGCTCCTGAACGTCCTCTACGTCAAAGTGATCTACACGCCTCGACTCAGCCACGAGTACAGCTACAGGAACATGCAGCTGTCGGCCCAGGCAGCTGACAGACAACGCAAGAACGTGTTGCAGATGGCTTTGCGGTTCCATCAGAGAGCCCAGCAGATGCTATCGGAGACTAGTGGGCATCATATAATTTTCTGAATGTCTTTTGAATCAAGAGATTCCTTAGCTTACGGGTGCAAAGCAAGGATACTCCGGAATTGTTCAAGTTGGACGATCCGATGGACGCGGCCTTTCGTGAATATAATTCCTTCGGCCTTGCAGAGCACGCCGAACAGTACAAGCTTGCCGAGAAAGATTGCCAGGCCATGAAGGCCCGATTGATAGACACTTTCAGAAATGAAGGTCATTCACATGAAGAACAATAAGATGGCTTGGACCGTTTCTTGCTATCTAATCCTGCATAAAGGATAGCATTAAGCAGGCTCTTGCTGTTCTAATGTCCACAACAAAGCATAGGGCTCAATACTATTTTTATGATAATGGCAATAGGCCCGGCTATTTCAAGCGAGCACAGTAGGATCCTCTACAACGGCACGACCGTCTGCTACACAATAATAGTGATCCACACTCAGGACCCCCTGTAAGCCCGTAATCTCCAGTATCCAGAAAAGAGCCATACTGCCTAGTTTTGAAAATAACCCCCGAACCTTGACTCTCTGTCGCTGCCCGTAGATCTGGGTTCTCGGCTGGATCATCGCTTGCATAATTGGGCCTGCCGTGCTGGGGGTTAGCTTCCAGGTTCCAGGATTTTGGGGTTGGGTTTTGGAGTCGATGAGATCTTCTGGTCTCTTACTACTACTACTACTACTACTACTACTACTACTACTACTACTACTACTACTACTACTACTACTATTACTACTGCTACTATTGCTCCTGCTACTGCCACTGCCACTGCTACTGCTACTGCCACTGCTACTGCTACTGCTACTGCTACCACTGCTGCTACTGCTACTGTACTGCTACTGCTGCTGCTACTACGACGACGACTACTACTTCCTGCTGCTGCTAGAGGATCTGTTGTGTCTTTGTTTGGGTGGTCGGGCGCCTGTATTTAATGGTAAAGGTACCCACTGCAGCGCCAGTGCCAGCTCTACGTGATTGGGAAAGGATCTTCTTAGTAAGTAATTGAACAAGTAAGGTTTGAAAAAAACTTCTTCGGAGTTTGTCAACTCCGGACAATCAGATGTACTTGTGAACTCCCAAAGCCCAGTCAGGGATGATGACTTCATTAGTATATACGAAGGCTATGAACTTCTTGACCCCACAATATGGAGTTTGCTGCTGATTCTACGATTATTCTACAACACGACAATTAGACAAGTAATATCATCTGAATTGCCCGCTGGTTGCCGTGGTTCTACTTCTTTTTCTCTCTTGTGAGCAACGTCTGAGCCAGATACTGATGGCAAGTGTGTCGGAGGAAGTTCGGCTGTTGATGTCCAGGCATCTTCAGTCGAACGTGTGGTCGGACTGTGCCTACAGCCTGGAGAATGTGAAGTCCTACCGCTGGCACCTCGGCTCCTCCGGCCGTGCCGAAGGAGTCTGGAAGGACATTATGACCGTGAACAAGGCCAAGCAGGTCTGCTTCATCCAGCGGATCCACTTCGCTTTTCAGGCGAGGCGTCGGCAGGTGAAGGCGGCCATGCACGCACGCATGAACCAGGAGCAGTGGGATGCCACTCTTGAAGGTGTGTGCTTCATGGTTTGGGTGTTGGATTGTATGCGGACAGCCACCACGGACGACGGTGCCTCCCCTCTCTTCTCCGCCGATGTCATTCGAAGTGGCTTCCAGAAAGTCCTGGAAGGGTGACTAGACTGTGCACTGATGCTCTTAGGGGTCTGTTGCTTGGTTCGATTCCTGTTCGCCCAGGGCGGAGAAGCACTGCCTCCTCAGGCTTCCTGATGTGAAGCCCCAGGATTGCTCCATTTGGGCCCCCCCCCAAAGACCCGGCTGCCAATGCACTCAAGGATTGCAGGGAGCAGTTTACGAAGCTCGACCAGGAGTCGATTCAGAAAACCTTTGAGGCTGACTGCTACAAGCTGACCTGGGACCTGTCTGCCTTCGCGACCCATGTCGACTCCCTGACCAAGAACAAACGAACCGCCCAGATCGCCAAGGTTTGCCATGTGCGAGCCGAGATGAAACGAGGGTCCAATGCAGTCGTGAACTACATGGAGAAGAACTCCCTCCACGAGACTGCGCTTTTCAAGGACCGGGACACCCCTGAAAACATCAAGAAGGCCAGGATCCCAGTAGTAGCCAAACCCAGCCGCCTTGCTTCTCCAACACCGACACCCCAAACCCTTAAGCCTTAAGCCCTAAACCGTGAAGACTGGCTGGTTCGGAAAACAAGATTTACAACAGCAGTTTCAATCCCAAGAAACCCAACACCCCACTCTCGAAGCAAAGCCCTGAAGCCTAAACCCTTGAACCCTCAAACCAGTAAACCAAGAACCCTGAAACCCTATGTAAACCCTCTAACCACATAACCCTTGAAACCATATACCCTAAATTCAAAACCCTTTAACCCCTAAAGCCCTAAACCCGTGCTCTGTGCCAGTGGCTGAATGCCTCGCGGCCCGATGCTGCCATCGTCTGGGCCGACCTCACAAAGTACGGCAGGCTTCAGGCAGACACGCTCAATGAGGTGGCTGAGATGCTCAGGGGCATCCTTAGCCACAGCCCCCAGATCATGGCCGGCGTCGTCGTTGTGCCAGTGCTGAGCTCTTCTAGGGTTGGCAGTGGAATCCGAGGCGAAATTCGGTGGCTAGCTTGCACTTACTGACTGTCAAGCACAGGTAAATGTACCCCAAGTCAAACTTGAACTGTCAATGGCCGCACAGGCGTCTGGAAGACAAGCTGGATGCAAAGTTCTTGGATAACATTGTCGTGAACATTCGCATGGGCGAGCCCCACAGCAACAAAAAGCATGCCCTGCTGTATCCGGCCCTGGTGTGCTGGGCTGCAGGAACCTCGGACCACCTCTTCGAGAGTTCCAAGCTGGTCATTGACAGGCTTGGTTTTAGTTTTCCCGCGAACACGATACCAGTCACTGTCCGTCACAGACATTTCACTCTCTTTCTCCTGTTTCTCTCTTTTTCTCAGTCTTTGTTTGACTTTGTCTTCGGTCGCTGCTTCTGTTCAGGTGCAACCGCGAGCCGGTGGAGTGGATGCTGGAAAGGGACTACAAGGTCCCGACCATCGGTAAGAACGCCACGCCGAGCACCCGGGAAGACCTTGACAGGCGGATCTTTTAACCCCTGACCACAAAGCCCAAAACCTTAAATGTCGCAAAAACCCTACACCCCAGACCCTAAATCCTAAGACCTACACCCTGAAACCCTGAACCAAAATCCCCTGCAATGACAAAGGGGGTTTTACTTGTTATCGTGTCTTCTCTTACCTTGCGGAGGTCCCATTCCGAAGCCCAGGAGGCAGCCCAGCATTTGGGCGGATTGCACATGCCGCAAGTGCTGCTGCAAGCTTTGCTGAAGGAGCAATAATAACACTTTGCTTAATTCCTGAAATTCCCGAACGTGCCAAGCTTTCGGCTCTGTGTTCCCTTACACTCTGATTGGAGGATGTGGCCAACACGGACAGCAAGATCTGTGCGGTCAACCTCACGCCTTATGATGGGGCCTTTGAAAAGGCCTGCATCTAGCCAAGTGGTGATGATTGATGATAGGCCCATGGCCCATGGTACCATTATAATCCTTTCGGAACCAAGCCAGCAATGACCTAATGGAAACCCTCAGGCCTTCAACTATGAGTTCAATATCCTAGAAGCCCGGGAAGCCTAATACGGAACAATCCAATAGATCCAGGTCTTCATGGGATCAGCATGGAGCAGTCAGCACGCTGACGGCAGTATTCAGGGCTACACACCTTGTTCCTCAGGGCATTCTACAATTGGGTGTTGGATCCTCGGTTGCCACGCCTGTTTCCAGGATTCTGACCTACTCCGTTGGCGAGGACAACATGATCGTGAAGTACTCCGAGAGATTGACTGCTCAGTTCCTTTTGGAGGCCCGAGGCTACAGACGCATCGTTTGTAGTATAGAAGCTCGGGAATGCTACGTCCTGTCAGGATTGGAAGACCGGGAACAACCTTGTGGGAGCTCCAAGCTTCCAGCCCGATCCACCTACTACTACGGACTCCGAAGGCCCTGCCGATCCTACCTTCAACCTCTGCTCCCTCACCCGGAACCCCGAGGGCAACTTGGCCATCGCTTTGCCCCCCGGCATCCGCACAAAGTGGTCGGAGGACTCAGCACGCAAGGAGGACTGGCGACACTCTTGGCAAAGTTCGATGCTTCGCAACTTACTCAAAATCAGACTGAGAGTGACTGAGCCTGGTATCCGAAATCGAGCACACATGTGAATGTAGTGATTCAAATATCCAAGGGCCCACACGACTTCCGCAACATCCGCTACATCCGCTACCTCCGCTACCGCTGGCACTAGTCCATCCCAAGCCGAGGACAAGTGGTCTGCCGAGCCCCAGACAGCCGATGACTTGGAGAGCAGGTACGACGTGCTGCACACCTTTCCAGGCAGGAACGCCAACGTAACGCTCAAGATCACTTCGGCTGTGGAGAAGAACCAGGAGCAGGCAGTGAACGTGTGCGAGGGCCAGCTGAACAAGCTGTTCTTGGTTCCCAACTTAGAAGTAGTTCAATCATTGATCATGAAGAGTCGCGCCTACGTTTAACCACAACTTGGATAATTCTAGAATCATATCACTCTCAGGTTGCCAACAGCGATGTGACCCTCCCGAAGAATGAGTACCAGATCGCACACGACCGGGCATCCTTTCTGTCCGGGCAGAAGGTCCAGAAGCTGATGGAACAAGGAGGCAGGACCGGGAGAGAAATGACAGGATACAGGAAGAAGCACAGAGAGCGAGAGAAAGACAGAGGGAGAGAGAGAGAGAGAGAGAGAGAGAGAGAGAGAGAGAGAGAGAGAGAGAGAGAGAGAGAGAGAGAGAGAGAGAGAGAGAGAGAGAGAGAGAGAGAGAGAGAGAGAGAGATTATGTAAGACAGAGAGAGAGAGGGAGAGGGAGAGAGATAGCGAGAGAGAGAGAGAGAGAGAGAGAGAGAGAGAGAGAGAGAGAGAGAGTCAGCAGTTTTCAAGGAACCAGCAGGGGCAGGAAGGGTGTCTTTCCTTAACATGTGAATGTGCCTACATTTGGTTCGCAAAGTCTTGGGGCCCGAAACGTCGTTTTGCAGCTAGTGCCCTGTTCTCATTCACGATGGATGAGAGTGATCGCGCCGGTGATCTCATGGCCTTCTTGATGTCTTCTCATAGCAGCATGCCCGCAGCCCCAATGAATGCTGCAACCGCATCCAAAGTTCCTGCCTCGGGATCCAGCACCGGCACCGGACGCCTGGCAAGGACGGTCACGCCACCGCCCGTTCAGAGGCAGCTATCGTTTGCTGATTCTGAGACCACTCAGATTTTGGGAGGTCCCTACAGGCGGGGGGCTACCTTGGATTCGGACATGGGCTTGACACCCCAAACCGCTACCAGAACACCTCCTGCTGCAAGCCTTCTTCTGGAAAGCCCAGCCTCAACCCCCGGACGGCATCCGCAGATCCTACATTACAGCTGGAGATTGATGCGGTGTCACAAAAGCTTCAGGCCGAGCTCAAGGTGGAGGAGAAGAAGAAGAATACAACGACCCATGAGGATGATGCTTCGAAGACGCCGCTCGAGACCCAGAGCTCCATCAACAAGGCTAAGGGCAAGCCTTCAAAGACGCCTCTCGAGACCCAGCAGAAGGCCACCGCTGAGGCCAGAAAGCCTAATGTCTTTTAATTCGTGGCTTCCTGTAAGTAGCCTAGAGCCTCATCATGGGCGGCTTTCAATAAAATTAAAAGTTACATTGCAGAACTAATCTCAAGCTAAAACCAAGTGATGCCAAACTCCTGACTGTGAAGGCCTGGACGTTTTCGTGCTTACGAGTATTGGATACTTGTTATCATCAGTTTGGGGCTTGAATCTGTATACCGCCCCATGTAATCATAATGCCCATAGACCGAGCTTTTCGCTATGACCGCTATGACTATTTAAATTCTAGTACTAGTATCACTTTATTTCTTACTACTACTACTATTTGTCCTCCTCCTCCTCCTCCTCCTCCTCCTCCTCCTCCTACGACTACGACTACGACTACGACTACGACTACGACTACTACTACTACTACTACTACTACTACTACTACTCCTACTACTACTACTACTAGACCCTGAAACCTTAACTACCCTAATCCAGCCTGTACCCCAATCCCCAAACCCTTGACACTCAACAGTGACAGCTAGAAGAAGCAGCACTTAGTTGCAATGAGCATCATTTAACTTCCTACCCCCACCCTGCTCCCTTCCCAGGAGCCGAAGCCTGGATCGTTCGCCGCCATTGTCAAGCAGGCGGTCCACACCTCGGCTACAAGTTCCGGTGCAAAGAAGGGGGCTGAGTCCAAGCGGAAGCCAAAGGCGTCGGCGAAGAAGAAAGCCGAGAAGCAGGTGAACGATGGTTCTGCAGACCAGGACCACGACTCCGAGAATGATTTGGCAGACGAGCACCACGATCCCGAGAATGGTTCGGCAGACGATGGCGACGATTCCCAGAATGGTTCGGCAGACGATGGCCACGATTCCGAGAATGGTGAGGCAAACGATGGCCACGATTCCGAGAATGGTCCGGCAGACACGGGCAGTGTGAAGAAGCCAAAGGCAACAGAAAAGAAGGGTGACACGAAGCCGAAAGCGGCCGCAAAGTCATCCGCCAAGAAGAACAACGACGGCAAGAAGGGCGCCAACAAGATCCCGGCGAAGGCTGGCTCGCATCCCACTAAGAGGCCGATTGAGAAGGAGAAGAAGCCCAGGAAGGAGTCGGCACTCACCGAAGGATGGAAGAAGTTCTCAAGCGATTACATCCGTGAGCACAGGGGCGAGGGCAAGAAGCTGAGCCAACTCATGAAGGAAGCCAGCGAGCAGTGGTCTGCCCAGTTGTTTGTGATAAACCACGAAAGGTTTTAAAACCCCAATGCCTTAAGCTATGAACCCTGTTAACAATAACCGAGGCAGCCTGATCCTTAAAGGACAATAAGCACCACTAATTAAGTATCTACTACCTCCACCGACTTTAACCACGAATGCCAGCAACCATCGCCACCACCAATACCACGACCGCCACCACCACCACTACCGCCAACAGGGTTCCTTCTAAGTGTAACCATGGCAACAAGAGCTACTACTGCCACTATAACTTACTAGTACCTGCTACTACTACTTACGACGACGACGACTACTACTCTACTACTACTACTACTACTACTACTACTACTACTACTACTACTACTACTACTACTACTACTACTACTACTACTACTACTACTACTACTACTACTACTACTACTACTACTACTTGTACTACGACTTCTACTTATACTACTACTTCTACTACCTCCTACTACTACTTAGTTCTGCTACTACTAGTATTACTACGACTAGTAACTAGTACTAAAGTACTACTAGTACTAGTAGTACCAGTACCACTACTACCACGACCACTTCTGATTCTGCTGCTGCGCCTGCTTAACTACAGGCTGTGACTCAGCCCTAAGACTTACTGCTACTGCAACTGAATCATTGCTAACCTGAGGTGGAAGGTGCAACCCCTCGCGAGTCGGTGCTATGAGAGGGCTTTCAACAAGTGAGCTTAAGCGCCGTCGATGGGCCTGATAGCTTTTTGCTGATGGGACGTAGCCCCCTGGGAGCATAAAATCAAGTACATGACAGTAAGGGTCCCGATTTTAGGGAAAGTGCCTCTAGGGTCCCGATGATGACTGGCCTCCCGGGGGGCTGCCTCTGGGGTTTTACCATCATCCTCGTAAGCAGGATGCAGACAGTGTCGTGCTGGGGCAACTAGTAGCTCAGGTCTTGCTGCTTGGCTGTGCTACAGCTTCTGCGCTTGTCCATATTCGGACGGGGGCTGTGGTCTTATATGCTACCGAATGATGCTCGCAAGTTTGCTTCGTCGTCCTTTACAATACTTGATGAATCCCGTCGGCAAGTACGTTGGCTGAGAGATCCGTACTTACGATTGCCGTGGTGCACCGAATCGGAGTCCACCTTGCTAGATTGGTATCAACTGCACTCCCGCCTTGCTCTCTAATGAAAACCAGATCGTATATCGCAGCATGGTGCTTGCCAATATAATACAACCAATACCGGTGACGACTCTAAGCGCTTAACAAGGACCACACCCCGGAGTGCTGAAGCTTCCGAGTCATCGGCATGTGTTCCAGGATGATCGTGATTGCCTGCGGTCAAGACAAGCTCGGATTGCTTTCAAGACATCCGCGAGTTTGCTTTTGTTTAAATTCCTGGTCTTGGAATTAATGTCCTGGGGTTTCGCTATAGATATCTGCTCCTCGGGTCGATTTGTATGTCGAGTATCCTCCATCCTTTTGAAGCCTAAGGCCCTACACGCTTAAAGTCTGGAATCCAAAGAACCATTGAAGCCCACACCCTACCCTAAGCAATCGTGGAAATTCCATAAGGAACCCACAACTTGTAGGCCCCCGTACAAAATCCTGCAAGGCCCTAGAAAGCAGAACCTCGATCTTTGAATCCCTGATCCATAGACAGTCAAGTTAAAGCTTCAGCCCGGAAGGCTAGTTTAGTTTGCAAACCCAGAACTCCACAAACCCAATACCCTACACCCGAAACCCTGCACCCTACACCCTGAAACCCTATACACCCTAAACCCTATCCCTAAAGCCAACACAACCATTCTGGCAGGCCCGATGAAGGACGCCACCAACATCGTCTGCAAGTGGACCAGCGACGGCGATCCTGTGGTGTTCGAGACATGCGAGGGCCGAAGATTGAAAGATGCGGAAATTTCGACGATGAGGTTTCTTGGCTTTGGTTTAGGAACATGGGGCTCAATTGCAATTATAATTTTGTTCGTGCTCGGCTGCAATCACCAGGCTTCTGATCGAGGAGATGGAGACAAATGGAGTCGTCGATTTGACGCTGAACTCCCATGACATGGAGAGATGCGATGAAGGACTCCGTGGAGGGTCAAGAGTTGCAAACACCAAACCCTAAACCCTTAAACCTTGCACCCTTAAACTAAACCCTGAACCCCAAACGCACAAACCGAGAAGTGTACCAATCGAAGAACAATGGCCAGAACCTCAAGTTCACGAATGCAGCCAGCTTCTTTGACAACCGCACTTTGACCAACAGCGAGACCCTACGGATGGTATGGCGAGTTTGCTTTAATGCTGATGAGCAGGAGACATGCTCACAGTAGCAATGTAACCATCTTTATCCCTGAGGGCACAAAGCGAGAATTGTACCAAGCCAACAATCGCCATTATGAAACCCTAAGCCAGGCCCCTCCAAAGCCCAAAACCACATCCTGCCGTCCCAGGAGATCTCACCCAAGAAGCCGCTTTACTTCTTGAACAATGTGGTTGAGATGCAAAAGCAGCAAGTGCTGCGCTTGCTGTAAGGGTGCTACGGTGCCCGGTTTGCGACGGGTTCACGGCTACACCGGCCTGAAGTCTAGAGTACGCTTCAAGACCTACTTCAAAGCACTCTAAGGGTCTTCGGGTTCTTCTTTATGGCTCTTACATGGCTTAAATAGCACTCAGCACAATGTAGAATCCTTACGGCCGGCAGAAGAGTCCTGACTTTG